GAATGCCAAAATAAATTATTTTAAAAGCTAAAAACTCTTAAAGTTAGTTTTACAAAAATGACCGACATGGTAACATGTCATGAACATGAAACCTGTTGCTTGATTTTAGAATATCAATATTATATAAAATACAACAAAAATATTATTATTGTATAACCACCATTTAATTATAATGAACAACGTAACAACTATGGTTGTTGATTTGTCTTAAAACCAATTTTCCAATTGGATTAGTATATTCTGGGAAATTTATAATATATATTCTGGAATATGGTGTTTTTTCGCCACTGTAAAAGCGCACGTATGGTCCCATCCGTTCACCTCAAGTGGTAGGCGCAGCTTAACACTAGAGTTTTACCATCAACTATTGTCACCACGGCGCAACACCATGTCCCATACTTTTAAAAATAAAACATTATAATTAATTTTTAAACAATAGTATTATGTTTATTTTTTTTTTTTTATGTGTTACATGTATCAACTTAAATGTATTTAAATTTGCATATGTTCCAAAAATATACTTCATCAGGATTTTGATGTTAAAAAAATAATTGTTTATGATTGAGTTTACTATTTGTATATCGATATTATTATTATTCGAACTAATTACGTATAAAAAAATACCAGGAATAACTACTTTTCTATTGATGACATATTTTATGACGCAAGTTTAAAATTGGATTAAGCCACCATAATTGGATACTTAATTGTTATTGATTTTTTCTAGAAAAAAATGATACTCTAAAAATATTAGTTCTATCTAAAGGCTTTAATGGTTTGAATTTCTATGAAAATAAACGGTGAAGCTACTTAACAATTTTAAGACTAATATTTAAAAATGGAGTCTACTAGAAATTATTTATGTACTAGTATTTATTACATTCTTGATATATATATATATATATATATATATATAGTGACGTATTTAAGGATAGTGTTAGTAGCTGTAGCCTGAAGCGGCTTTATTTTTAAGAGATAAAATTATTTATTTTTTTATAATCTTTACATTAAATATTATTGTGGAAAGGATATAAAAATTAATTTAGGTTACCAAAAAGATAGTCACGGTATTTATAATAATAATATGAAACATGGAATAATATATTGAAGAAATGTCTATTTATTAAGAATTATAAAATTATTTTTGATTAACTTATTTAAACACTCCAATAATAATTGTATATTTATTTAGGGAGCCTTAACAGATAATTATTTACCATTAAATTTAAAATTTTTAGAACTTACGATTTATCAGAGAAATAGCCATGACAAGATTAGCGAGCAACAATATTAAATTTAACACAATTAAAGTTTCGTAAAAAATATTAAGGGTTCAAATTAGATTTTATAAATGTCAATTGTAAATTAAATTTTATAGTATAATTAGAATTCACATTAATAAAAAAATATAAAACATTATACTCTGCAACTGATGTACTGCTTATAACAAAGTCAGTGGGCGTATTTTTATTCTATTTTATTGACGTTATCGTTACATTATATATGATATATCACATTAAATGTAAAATATCTGCATAAAATTTCTAATAAAGCCTGTTTGACAGTCAATTTTTTTTTCATTAATTGTGTACACAGCTGTAGGCTGATTTAATGACATATCACTATTAGCTCTGTTTAAACTAACAAAATTATTGAAAGAAATTGGAAGTCTACGTAATATTACGGTAACTATTAGTTATATTTTTTACGCTTTAGTACAAACATAATACTACGTTGAATAGCAACGTAATGCACTTGATTAAAAAGTTATTTTTCTAAGACTATTAATTTATCAATAAGTTGAATTTTTTAATGCTCTAACATGTGTAACATTTATAGGTACGTTTAAAATAATATTAAAATTTTTATAAATAATTTAAATAAAAGTTAAGTTCATAAACTTCATTGTATAACTTTATTACTATAAAATATGATTTAAAATGTCATCAAATAAACGAGTTTAACAATTTTAACTTTATGAAAATAGGTCGTATTTTAAAGGGCTCGCCTTTTCGCCTAGTAGACCAATCGTCCTTAGACCAGCGCAATCCATATTATATAGAGTCGATATTTACAAAGTTTACCAAAAGACTTTTTTTGTCCATTAATTTGTTTTTTAGGAATTTTTTTATCATATAATTATTTCTAGCAAGCTTACCATAGTAAAAAAAATTAAGCTCCCAATACGGTTCTAGAAGATGATTTTTCGGGAGCATTTAGATTTAATGCTTGTACGCAATAAAAATAACTCAACTTTAATTTTAGGTTTATATAAAATAACTTTATACAAATTAAGTCTTCATGAAAATTATTGAGTATATCTATCATTCAAATGACACTTATTAATTATGTATTTTATATATTTTCAACATAAACATTAAAAGTATTGATTTTTGAATGTCACTTTTTTAACCATATTTTTATGGAATTCTTACTAAATAAATAAACGTTAATACTCTAGAAGATAGAAGCGCTACCCATCTTAGTGTTTAGAGCGATTTTCCAAATAATAACTAAAATAATTTTTAGTACCTAATATATGTTCTTATTTTATGTAGTACGTGTACTTTAAATCTATTAAAAAATGATTTTCGAAAAAAAGTTAGGTTGATTGAAACTTATAAAAATATATTACCTTGGTTCATATAAAAAATTATATATATAAACAACACGCTGTGCGATACTATTTTTACATAAAGCATTTATTTGTTTTAACGCCAAAATCTATATTTTAAATGCCCTCACTCAAATATTTAAAAATAAAATTTCAAAATAATTAAAAATACTCAGAGAATAATCAGGCATTCAGATAATAAATTAAAACAATATTTAATAAGTGTTAACAATTTTAAGTACAATGATACTCGTTGGAAATTTAGTAATTTTAAATTTATTACTCGAATTTACTTAGTAAGGATAAGTATTAAATTAAACATAAATGTTTTCAATCGATTAAAATAATTATTTGTTATACGTTATAGATAATATTTATTTTTAGTGATTTATAATACATTATTACAGATGATGATTTGCATTGTAGAAATTAAGTTATCCTTGAATGACGTATTTTGGATTACAGCCATAATTATAATCTGTTTACTCCTAGGCTTAAAAGCATACTGGTTTATTATTATTATTTTAATACGTTTTACAAAACAAAAATTTGGTACGTTAATTTTGACCAAATAAATACGCGGACCTGTCACTTACAAAATGCTTACTATTTAGTTATGGATGAGATTATGTATGTATTTAAACAACAGTACAATGAACTTGTAAAAGACAATGTAACACAATTCTAAACGTTAGTTTTATAATAGATTACACAGACTACAGTTGAGAACTTCCAGACGAAATTACAAACGATTTAATAATAGTGCCAATTATAATTTTAAAATAACATAATATTAACATTATTACAATCGCAATTTCCAAAAAAAAAAAAATGTAAGGCTTATTATATCTAACTTTCCTCTCTTTAAAATGTCCATTATATAATTTTACCATTTTGTTTTTCTAAAATTTTTGCGAGGATAATTTTAAAATTGCAGGCACTACTAAGCCTCTCTAATTTGCACCTAATAATTAATTTGTATTTACACAGTATATTTTAAGTCCTTAAATTCCTTGAGAGTGGAGGCATAAGTATAGATCATTTACGGGGGTAGTTAAATACATGTACCCCCTCCCATCAAATTATTTTTAATATAATTTGATAAAATTAAAAAATTGTGTAATTGGGGTTTGAATTCTGCTTAACATATACAATTATTAAATTTCTATTTAAAAAAACAGAAAAATTATATTTATAAAATAACACTTTACATTTACACTATTGTGAGGTATCTATAAAAATCTATAAATAATAGTAGTTTGCATGGAGACTATGAGAGCTTATACTTCCCATAGACTCTAAAAAATAAACTGTTTTTAGGAGAATAGGGGAGTAGGCAGCCATAAAAATATATTATAGAAGCCTTAATTAGGTTTTATATCCAAAATTTATGAAATTGAGTGTGAGAATATAACCTCTAGACAAAATTTTCAAATTACACTCAAGTCTATAGAAATATTTCTTAAAATATAATGAGTTAATAAAAACTAAAGATCAAAATTTTTAAATGTATGTTATCATTATTGAATATTGAAATATTAAAAGAAAAAATATGTATTATATAAAATTGACTCCCATGTATAACATTAAGGATGCACTATTTTTACATAGTGGCTGAGGGGGCAATGACATCATGCAGCACTATAAATTAGAAGAAATTATCATTTTTATCACAAAAAAAAAAAGATATTTCTATTCTATAAATTAAATATGAAAATTTTAGGGGCATACAAATATTTTAAATAATTTATACTCGAGGTAGAAAAAACTAAAATTTATCTCTGAAAAAACGGTAAGCATTGTTAAAGATGTGGTATTTAAAAATCGAACTTTTATTTATAAAATACATGTAATTTCACTAAAAATTATTCATTTCAAAGTATCATAGATACTTAAAAAATAATAATCATTAGCATTACTAAATAGTGTAATACTAGTAACAAAAAATTACAAAAGTAATTTATAAACAAAAATAGTTTTTTGTTATAACTTATAATTGAGGTAACATAAGATCATTAAATTCAACTTTAATACATGCTGAAAATAATTATATATTTCAATGTCTAACTATATTTAGTACAACAAGGAGTCCTTAAAAATGTTAACTCTGGTAAACAAGCATTTTCTCTTAAATTTTTTATATTAAATAGTAAATTTCTAAATCACAGTGTACAATATTTAATATTAATCAATTAAATTATTTTGTGTTATTAAACATTAAACTTAACTATAATTTATAAAATTTTCATTTTTAAATAATTTTTTTTATTAATAAGAAACTTTAAAAAGTATGCAAATTATGCTAATAATTGACTAACTAAGACAAATAATAACGTAATTAAGATCTATTATTTAGCTAAATTTTCTTATTAGCATAAATACTTACAATAATCCTGAGCATGATGTGCAAACAAATGAGCCTATGGTCACATTAACGTATGTTGGGCCTCTTTGGTGACAGTCAAAACAATGTTTATTTGCGGGTAATGACAGTTGTTCACGGAGCACCGATAGATTGTATTCATCCTGTTTTCTAGTGACATTGGCCATTCCGTTTAAAGTAAGACGTTATTATCACAACTAAAAATTTATTTACAGTCTTTGAGTATAATTCAACTATATATTATTCGTAAACATGAAAAACGGAAATATAATTTAAAAAGTAGAGTTGTGACTGAAGGAATCAATACAGAATAAAAACTACAGATATTTTAAGAAGCGACTACTTCTCCGAAAGTACCAGCAGCAGTAATTTAGCTCGAACTAATAGATATGTGAAACAGCATTAATTGAAATCAATGTAACTGAACATAGCAGCATTTCTAGAATTATCCTAACGCATAAAATTATCATTCAGGGGTTCCAAATATGTACAATAAAAAACCCGCGAATATATAAAATAACTTTTTTATCAATACCAGTGAAGCCAACTCAAGGGATTTATCCCTCAATCATGAGTTAAGATCAAATAAATTGATCATTGCAAGGTAGGTTGCGACGGGAGTGCTAGTTATGTTACAGAAATTCCATAGAAGAGACAATATTCAATGACGAAGATATATTCAGAATACAATATTTTAAAAACAGAGTGGGGAAATCGTAAAAAAACATGTAAAATAGTAGATGGCGCCTTTACTTCAAAATTACCCCTTCTAAGGAAAATGTATAACAAAACCGGATTGCCTGTAACACCTTGCAATTAGTCTTTTTTATCTTAATTCGTATATAAATTAAGGGATATTGATTTTTTGGGAGGATTTAGGGATATTGTTAGTTAATCTGGAAATTTAAAAATAATACTATCAGTAATAAATTCTGAAAAATAAAGTTCTAGTTTTATAGTTAAGTCGATTATTACTAATAAATAATTAATTATAATTCAAACAGTTTTTTAATTATATATTTATAATTATTATGCAATAATTACAATAATATGCAGAATCATGGTGAATCTAATTTATTGTGTCGTAGTAATTACATATGAATAAATAGAATGTGATTATATTGATATAATCTAAAATATTATGAATACTTTTACAACATCGTTTATTTTTTATTGCAATCATGTACTAAGAATTCTTAGATCATCTTCTCGAATCACCGACTATATGATTACTTTCATATAGCTGAGCACAAACTAAAGTAAATAAACAGATTATGATAAGCCGTGAACGGGGAGTGTGCTCCGGATTTATTATAGAGATTCCATAGAAGAGTAAGGTCTAGCGACAAACATATTTTCAGAATACAAAATCTTAAAAACTAGCCGACGTTTTTTTCATTGCAGCCTGAAATAAAATTTTTCACTTGGAAAACAGCTGTTAAAGCATTGCGAGTTTTACAGCTAGCGCTCAGTAATAAATTTTCACCAAATAATGTATAGCGTAAAATATGACAAAATTAAAATTTTTGGAAGAAAATCATCTAAATATCAAGAGAGGTGTATTTCAAATGCTTTATATAAATAATTTATGTATTTAATAAAAATTAGACTGATACTTTTTAATAAATGTATTCATGAATATGACATTAAATAACATTTAATAAATAAATATTCTTTTAAAATTAAGGATCAAATGTTAATAAAATTATTAATAAAAGCCATGTTTTTCTAATATATCAAATTATTATTTTTTTTAGTAGCATATTTTTAACTAAGAGTTTCTTTATAAATATTTTGAAGGGAAATATTATTCATTCTTGATAAAATATTTATTAATATTTTTTAAATTAAAATTTCCCCTGTATTAAATATACAGAAATTTTATTACACTATCTGCAAGTTAAAATAGATATATCTTAACTAATCTAATTTGTAGTGAATAATTTAAAATTGTAAAAGTATTGAGTTTTAAAAACAGCTATAAAAAATTATTAAAATGTATATGTTTTAAAATTAAAGTTTAATTTGTTTAAAAAAATCCACGTCTCAAAATTAGAGAATTACTAATAGAACTTTTACCTATTGATACGATCACATTATGTGATCTCATCTCATATTATTGTAACGCCGACTAGTCTTACATCGTTGACACAGTAACACACGTATTACTACATAAAGGCGGACTACACACATAAACACTTTTGCAATTCACGGCCAATGTGCCATAATAATATATCCCTAACGACAGTTGACTTTTTACCATCATCGCGTCCATTACTCTTGTCTTATATTTAACTTAACTTACCTACCACGTAAATAGTGTGTGTGTATCGCCGTCAGCTCCCTGTTGGATTATATCATCTCTAGTTGTCCAGCAGGTTGTAGTATTTACTTATTATATCTTTACTTAATAAATATTTATATCGTTGTTAACAAAGAGTGTTATATAATATATAATATATATATATTGTAGTGCGACCCTTGGTAGTTCCTCAAAGGGAATATAAATTAAATAGGAAACCTCAGTACCTAAGGCAGATATAGCCTAGCCAGCTATCTCCCCGTTGGTCCCTTAGAATAGTGTTGACGGGCATTTAGGCTTAACTCCTAAATAGCGACGTAATACTAGCAATATACAAATATAAGTTAATTATTATCCATAATATAAGGATAATTGGAAAGGGAATTTTACTACACTCAAATATTACAAAATTTCCATGTAATTATGCGGGTAAAAAAGAATGTTTACTTTTCAAATATTATTAATAGAGCCTGCGATATTATGTATATCAATAAGCTGATAACTGAATATTTTACTAAATTCTCGCTAGAAGCGCTAATTGTATAACTCACTCAAGATTATCAGTGACACTTTGATTCTCAGAATAAGTTTCGTTAAGTAACTTGTCTTACCTATAATCGTGGTTATAGCATACAAGTGTTACTATTAATAGTCCACCCTTATACAATGATAGGTATAATGTAATAACACTTAGGTCACCTAAGTTAGGTGTGTAAACTGAATCAAGACAATTCGGTATGAGGTGTGCACAATAGACTAAGAGGTCGAGTGCATGGGCATTATGTTCACTTCACTAATAACTAAAAACTATTATAACACCAAGTAGGAATAGTGTCATATTTATGAGAAGGACACAAGATCCGGATCCTCCTTAACATAAAATTATGGCAGTTAGGAAAAGTAGATGAGTGTAACTTCGTATAACTTTCAGAACGTAGAGTACTGAAAGTTAATATTAATTAGGATACTGATTTGCTAATTACCTAGGAGGCCATGAGATTCTAAATCTGTTTTTGTTTGTATTGCTAGTTTTTTTTTAATTTGAATGAGCAAAAAAAAAAAAGATTTTAAACTTTATAATTCATATTGCTAACTGTCTAGTATTTTCTCCAGCGCCGTTCGGGGCACGCACACCCGTTCACTCTTAAATTTGATAGAAATGATCAAATTTCTATTTTAGAATCAAATCGTAGATATTTTTAGTAGTTTAATTAATTTTCCTAAATAGTAATTTATTCATGTAATTGTCCTTCACCAGAGATAATCCTGAAGACTTTTAAGCAGGGCTTGAAATAACATTTTTTCATTTTTATGTTATAAGTTTTAATATATTTAAATTTGTTTTTGTCTAGCGATATGGTTTAATTAAACGTTGTCTTACTAATAAGTTTAAAGTTTTAGGTACCTAAAACGCTCTAATTTTTTTAAGTTAAACATTTTATTATATTTTATTTAACAGACCATTTATTGTTTACGGCTGCTGATATGGCCTAGTAATTTCTCTCATAGGGTTACTTGTACACTCAAATACCTTTTGAGACTTACACGACTGAACAATTATATATATATATAATTTTGTAAGCTTTTATGTGGAATTTAGTTTTTTAATGAACAACCTCCGAAACAGTATATAATAAAACATTTTTGCAACAAGTGGCGCCATCTATCTGCTTCATACAATATGCATGAGTAATATTTATGTGGTTACCAGATCGTAACTGCTGCTCGTTACTGATTAGAAATTGCTACAAAGGAATTGCTAAGTTCATAAACATAAAGAAATATGATAGAATGAAGTGAGTAGGCAACCGTATTTACAATCATATGGTAAAATTATTCTTATATTATCGGTGATAAGGAATTGGCTGAAAAATAACTAGCTCCATATACATTAATTTGTTAAGAAATATCGTTTTAATATATTTTATTTTATGAAAATGAATTGATTTTTACTTAAGTAAAATATCTATACTTTTTACATGTAATACAAATTTATTGTTGATGTACAATATGTACTTGCAATTAATGTAAGTAATGTAATGTACATTGATCTATAATGGTTGGTCTATAATCTTACAAAATTATACATATAATTATAGATTATTTATTATATGAACCACTTGATTATTATAGAATTAATAATTAATTTACAGATCAATGTGTTTACCTACCTATGACAGGTAGTTTTTATACTACAATTTTAATTAAAAAAATGTAGTAATATTTAATGCATTATGTTAAATTATGTTGGGAAATGTTTGTCATGTTTTATATAATATTACTGGTGTTAACAAATATATTAAAAATAAGTTATTCTATCGATGTTCCTTGTGAAAAATCAAGAACTATTCTTACTCAAGCTAGTGGTGTCATAACACATGGGCCTCCAGGAACTAATTATTCACAAAATACACATTGCGAATGGTTAATAAAAGGTATTGCAGAAAAAAATATTTAATTTTTTTTTATATTCTATTGATTTATTAATATTGAATTTGGTTGAATGTTAAAACTTAAATATAAAATTATTAAATTATAAAATTTTAAATGAAGATTTTTTAACATGTTTGAGGAATAAAAAGAATATTATACAAGACTATGTATAATATGACTAATAGTATAAAGGTAGTTCCAAGTGATACAACTTTTAACATTTTGTCTATTGTTAGAATTTTTATAAACTGTATTTTTGTTAGTGAACCTTTTTTAAATTTCTATTAAAAATTATAAATATATATATATTTTGTTTTATACTTTTAGCTAATAGCACAAATCAATTTATAACATTGGAATTTAAAACATTAAATACAGAATGTTCATATGACTACATATTTGTTTATGATGGAGACTCATTTAATTCACCTCTTCTTGGAAGTTTTAGCGGAAAAAATCAGCCACAGTCTATCTTAGCTTCATCTGGTTTTGTAAGTGTAATTATAATCAAAATGATACTTTTATAAATTATTAACTTTATTATTTTGATCTTTTGAATTTCAACTATAATTAATTATTTAGATGTTACATACTTAATCAATAAAAAACAAATATTTTTTAGATGTTAATTTTACTATTCAGCGATACAAATTATGCCTTAGAAGGTTTTGAAGCAGTCTATTATGTTTCTGATTGCCCAAGAAATTGTTCAAGTCATGGATTTTGTCTAAGAAACTTTTGTGTATGTGACAATGAGTGGGGTGGACCTGACTGTGGAACAGAACTATGTCCAGAAAAATGTGGTGAACCGCACCGAGGTATATGTAAACAAGGCCGATGTCATTGTCATCAAACTTTCTCAGGAATGGGTTGTACATTAAACAATACTGATTCAACTGGAAATAGGTAATTCTATAACTTTTTATATTCATACATATAATTAGATGTATATGTGATTAACTATATAGTTATTATTATGTTTATCAATATTTAACTTTAGATGGCATGATTTATATCAAGGAGGAATACATCCAAGAGTTGCTCATTCGGCCGTATATATCAGTGAAACAGATTCCTTATATGTTTTTGGAGGTTATGATTTAAATAATGTTTTTGGTGATCTTGTAGTTTTTCGTTTTAATACTTCTACTTGGTATGACTACAATGATAATGTCATAGGTAATAACTTGTTAATTAATATACAAAAATGTATTATTTTAAATAATTAAATGTAATTTTTTTTATATTCTATAGACCCTTTGCATACATCAGTAAATTCAATTGGATCAGCTACAATAAATGCATTAATGACTGCAAAATTAAGTGAAACTAAAAATCTAACCAATAGATCAAAGTATTTTTCTAGTGACTCAAAACCTATTAATTTAGGTGAACAAAAACAAAATAAGCCATGGTCAGCTGTACTTCATGATATTTTTGTATCCCTAGCTGATGATTCAACATTTCTTGAACAACAAAATGGGGTATTTTGTTTTATTATTATTACAAACTCTTATTTTTATACAGATAAAGACAAATAAAATTATTATTTATTTTTTGATTCTTAATTTTAAACTCAATTTTTATTTAATAGAATATTCGATACTCACCTAATGAACGTATCAAAGAAAATAATGATTATTTAATGGATGAAATTAAAAACAAAAGAATACCAGCTCCTCGTTTTGGTCATGCGGCAGCCAAGTAAGCATAATGTTTTAATTGCAAATATTCAAGTTTTTTTTTTTAAGAATTACAAAAATCATGATATGATTAAATTTAAAAAAAATAGTCTTGATTTTATGAAACAAGATTTTTATTATTATTATTTATTTGTAACTGTCAGGTTTTAGTTGATTAAATAGTAAAAGTTTTAATAGTATGATTAATTTTAATTATTTAATGTTTAGATATCCTGGTGGATTTCTTTTGTACGGTGGAAAATTAAAAAATGGTCTTCTCTCAGAAGAATTATGGTTTTATAATATTTATTCAAAGATGTGGTCATTACGTGCTCAAAATTCCATTATTCAACCACCTGCTGTTACACGGCATACCTTAACATATGTAGAACAGACTAATAGTGTATATTTAGTTGGAGGAAGTACTAGTAAAGGCTATTTTTCGTCAAAAATATTTTGTATAAACCTAAGTTCAGGTATACAAGTTTTATTTAATAATTTCTGAACAAATTAAATTGTTTTTTTTTTAAATACTTTTAGCCTAATTTGTTAATAATATTTTGTTAAAATCATTTAAAAATATTTTCAATACTACTGAATAATTCACTGTTATAATAGTCTACATTCTTATTTAGATATTGTAAATGAACAATGGAAAGAAGTAAAACCTAGAGGTGGTAAAGAATTAAATTATCGTGTTGCTGGTCATTCGACCGTTTACGATGCTCGAACACAATCACTAATTATTTATGGTGGAATCGTAACTAGTGCATCTTGGTTTTCAAAACTAAGTGATCGAATGTTTATATTTAATATTCCATCACGACACTGGTCAGAAATAAAATTTCCTTCTACTAATGTACCAACTGAACGTGCTTTTCATTCTGCCAACATTATGGGTAAATTATCTAAATAAATTTTATTTGTTTTTATTTTTTATTAATCTTTTATTTTTTTTCAGGAAACTATATTGTTGTTTATGGTGGTTATACTCACAGGCATGCAAAAGAAGAAATTTGCTATGATAATGAGATTTATTTATACCATCTTGGTTGTCATACTTGGCTTAGTCGAGATGTCCTTGGTGTTTCAATTAAAGGTTTATAGTTATATAGATTTTAGAAAATAAATTATAATACTTATACAAGACAACACATATTACAGAATTTATTCATAAAAAATCCAATGGGGTATTTGGTCATACATCTGATGTTCGTAATGGAAATACTTTAATTGTTTTTGGTGGATATCGAGGAAATATTATTTCTGATTTACTAGCATTTGTTTTACCTCCAACTTTAGTTCCACCAGGCAATGACTCTTATCATTTAGAACTTATGTGTTCAAGGTATATATTTTTGTATTACACTATACTTTATAATACGTTATAATATTTACCATAATAGTCACATTTTCGAAAAAAAAAATGTGATTTGGGATAGTCTACCTTTAATATACAAACATATATTTTTAGAAGACTCTTCAAGAAGTATACTATGCGAAGTATACAAATAAGAAATTTAGAGACCATTTCTGGTAAAGAAATAATATTAATGATATGAATACAATAGGATTTGTAAGACAAAATTGTAGTATCAATTATTTGTTTTTATGTAATATAACTAATAAGAGAAATTTATCTGTAAAAATTGGAAAATATCCTAAAATATGTTGACCATTTTTTCATGTGATTTTGATGATTGACAGATGGTTTTATTGTTGTATATTAACAGTTCCATGTATCAACATGATGTTTTTTTACCATGTTCTGACAAACCCTATAACTTTTCTACTGAATATTTTTGATTACGTTCTGTTCTAAAAACTTGTTAGAGCTTAGAACTACAATAATATAAAAATATTTATCTTTTATTTTTACTATTTACTTTTTATATAATATAATATATATATATATATATATATATATATAT